TAAAATGGATTTTAACTGGAAAACCACAGTATTTTTACGAGATGGTTACTTTCAGTTTTACCGTATTTTTCTGCCTGAACACTCATTTTTATTTATTTCTTTTTTTTCTACAGTGCACCCTGTACTTTAAAGCTACATCAGCGCTGGCTGCACAGACAATAACAGACCCGTTCCACTGCAGGCAGCATTAATGATGACTGTATTCCATTTGGGTGAGCTCAGACCAGGGCTCGGTGCACATTGGCTAACTAGAGTGTATCCATGACCTACTTAATAAATCATAGAGATCATTAATGCCGGCACTTGTGCCTTTTCTGCTCTTATGAGGCAAATGTTTGCTGTGAAAAAAAGGCCAATAGAATAAATTCCTTGTTTGGTTTTCAAGAAAAACCACAAATTGCACGAGCTTGAACCTTCGTTTTACCGTCTGCCTCGCCCAGATGTTTGCACTCATTTGTGTTTTAGGGCTATTTAAAGGGTTGTGTCGCCCATTATTCACCGTGAGTCTATGACATTTAAAGCAGCTTGCTGAAAATAGCTCTGAAATTCCACCAGTGTAGCTGAACAAGCTGTTTTAAAAGTGAGTGTACAGTAATGTGAAATCCTTGGCGTATATCTGTCGTCCTTTTATTCACCCCCCTCATACCCATTCTGGCTGATCCAATCAACTGCGCTTTCCATCCAGTCCGGTTTCATTCATTTCCTGCTGCTCTGACATCGATATTAATCAAAGCTGGTAGAGAATCAAAGGCTCGGGAGCTTCCACTTGTCATCCTTTGCCGAGTCTTTCGCACCAAAGCGCGGTGATTAAATGAAGTGCTTTGAGACGCCCGGTGGGAAAGTGCAAAGTGGCTTCACAACGTGCTGTTTCGCAGAGATGAAAACAATATTGTGTTAGCAGCCACTTGAGTTGGAGTAAGCTGGTTATTGCTTGTAATACAGTTGACCCTCTGAACCGCAAGACCTGCCGGCAAGTTTGAAAGGCTCGTCTTTATCTGGTGTCTCTGAAAGAAAAGCCGCTTTTTCTTGAGCTAATCATGTGTGACGTGCCAGTTTAATGAGAAAACCATCAAAATCTGAGCGTTTTTTCTTGATGAAGTGAGCCTATTTTACATGTTTTAATTCAAAAAATCAAAAATCTTATCAGGAAACATTACAATCAGAACTTCTTGGTGCAACTAAGAAGTCCTGACTGACTCATTAACA